AATCTTTCATTTTCTCCTCATCAAAAAAAAAAAAAAAAGGCGCCTGGGTGGCTCAGTCGGTTGGGCGACTGCCTTCGGCTCAGGTCGTGATCCCAGGGTCCCGGGATCGAGTCCCGCATCGGGCTCCCTGCCCAGCGGGGAGTCTGCTTCTCCCTCTGACCCAACCTCCTCTCATTCTCTCTCTCAAAATAAATAAAATCTTTAAAAAAAAAAAAAACCCTCATATTATTTCAGGCACATACATTTCAGTGGATCAGTCAGAATGTAAACACTGTACTTTTTTAAACCGCCCCCCTCGGTGTTTGGCACAGTATTGGTCACAGAATATGTATTTCACGAACTCTTGTAAACCAAGCACATCTTTTCTGCTATTATTTAAAATTGTTTAAGTGGCAAACACAGGTATTATCTCATACTTTCTGTGAATTTTCAAACAGCTGAGTTCAGTTAAGCACACATTTCCTTACACATATAAAAATGGAAAACACTGCAACAAAAAAGACTGGAATTTTCCATCCACACAGCTGTTGCTACACAGCGTCTGTGGTGTAACCTTCTCTTAATGGAACTCACTCCCACAACCCCACACAAGAGAAATGATTTCTTTTCCACGGCAGCCCCATCACCGTACTGGGCAAAGGCATCAGAAGTAATCAAGGAAGGAAGAAAAGACTCCCCAAAAATGTGATGGAAAGCATGGAAACGATTACAGGGTACCAGATCCAGAATTTGAAAATTCATGGTTAAGTGCTATTTTTTTTTTCGTGTTTCCAAATGACAGCTGACTAATTAGTATGCTTATCCTGTCACTCATAAACTATGAGCACAGAGGACAAAAAAAAGTACGAATGCAGAGACGAGTCGTAAGTTCCTGCAGTCATGTCTGGGCGCCCTGCAAGTGCATAGTAAGAAGGATTCTCGCTGACAAACACTGCCAATTCAGATTAATCGAGGGGGAACTCTTTCCTTCACGGCTCGTTCCTCACTTCTCCTTCCCTTCCAACCAAAGGCTTGCCACACACCAAGAGTCTGGCCTCTTGAAATGTTCTTCTTTTTGCTTGGTTTCATCAGCCCTGCAGAAGGAGGGGAAAAGTAATCTCCGATTTGCAGAAATGAGAGAAAGACAGGAGATTACGGATTTCCTTAGAACTTTCACCTCTGCTCTAAATAAACAGTTGCAAATAATGTCCCCATTCCCGTAGTTTCGTGGGAAAGTTCGGCGCCCTCCGGAGAGGGGTAGTGTGACATATTTACAGACACCCAGAGGGAGAGCAGAACAGAACATCCAGCAAGGACCTTCTTTAAAAAGACTCTTATCAAGCTTCCACAGAGCCCCAAGTGCTAGATAACGAACACAGAAGCCAGAAAATCCAAGAACCAGTCCGGCTAAAGCTGTTTGGGGCACTGTGTGTTAGGTGACCTGTGACTTTTCACTTGGTAGCAGCTACAAAATTCTTTCTTGGATTAAAGAACTTTCCAGAAATAGTCAAATGTATCATCTCGGTTCTAAGGAGTAAACTAAAAGCAAAAACTTAGTCACACAGATGCCCCCTCCTTCTTCCCCAGCCCCTCTCTGTACCACTGTGTCTCTCGGTCTCTGTCTGTCTTCCTCTCCCTCTCCACATCAGACCCTTACTAGTTCAGGCAACCCCATCAATATTACTCTTTGGACCCCGGGGGAGAGAGACTGACTCTGCCCAGTGCTTCACGCCACATGGGACACTCTCTCCCTTATCCAGCAGGGTTCGTCTGTTGTTCAACAAGCTTTCTGGGGTCTTGGACCAGATCTTGGTCTTGGACTGCTAACAGGAGCCTTGCTCGCATCTCTCCAAACCACCGAGTACCCAGAAATTATCGGCTTATTTTATCTGCCTCTCCCAATCAGATGTTAGTTCTTTGAGGATGAAGGCTCTACCATTTTCTTGAACCGTCAGGCAGAGAAAGCACTCCATGAGCACGTGTCAAAGGGAACATTTGGACTAGGAATCTTTGTTCAATATACTTCGAGCAAAGAGTAGCAAAGGTACGTGACTTTGGCGTGAGTCCTTGGAGCATCCCAAACGTGAATTCATTCTCTCTTGGACTTAATCACCCGGCATTCCCTTGGAGCTCCCATTCATCAGGCTTAGAACTGCCCTGTAAGTTACATTTATTGACGTGTTTGCCCCACAAAGCTGGGGACTTCATGGTCAGTGCATTCTGCTGCATTTACAGTGAAACAGGTCCTGGGACTCTGCACGTTTTCCACGCAGCATTTGTTACAAAGATATCAAAGCCCACAACTGGCAATCTGGATGTGAAAGCAGAGATGGGACTGCTTAGGCGGCAGGTGGTTCAGGGGGAGGCGGCACTGTTGGAAGATCTCGGGCTCCCTTCAGTCACCCCCGCATTGCTGCAGGGAGCAGGGAACGTTGCAGTCGACCCAGCCTGCACTGGCCACGCATCCTTACACACCTGGGAAGCCCACACCGGGCTGCCAAAATCTGCCCCCCCCTTCCCAGAAACAGATCCCCACGCTTGCCACAGCACCTTCAATTAATCCACAAGGCATCAGTTGCCCTTTGGTTGAGACATTTTCCCCCCTAAATACTCCTCTCCAAACGCTTGCTTTGCGGCTCGTGATTCCACATAGAGCCATTAGTCATGAACGTTAATTGCGTCTCTCTACCCTTATCTCTAACTGCTTCTCCCACCGCACCCATTCACCCACCAGCCACATCTGCCGATTCGCTGCTCAAACCAACACGGTCCTATCTAGGGCTGTGCCCTTGCAGTTCTCTCTGCCCAGAACTTTCTCCCTCCCTGAACCGCAGAGCCAACACCCTTCCTTCATTTCAGATCCCTGTTCCGATGTTGCCTTCTTGGGAAGACCTTCTTTGGCCATCTCTTTTTCCAGAGAGCTAAGTAGTCGTATCAAATCCTCACCTACAGCATAAACCTCTGGCTTGGGTGTTTTTGTAATTTTGTGATTCCCTGAGTGTTACAGAGCAGGCATCAATTGCAGCTCATTTAGTTACAAATAACAGAAATTCCTTCTCCTGCCAACTTGCACACTCAAGGAAATCCACTGGTGTGTCTGGCCCTAAGGCTAGTGAGAAGCAAGAGTTGAATCTGGGCTCAAAAAATCCACGTAATCAGATTTTTCTCTCCACTTCTCAGTGCCGCCCAGGCAGCCTGAGTTTCACTTCCACACCAAGTCTCTATATCTGTCATGGGCCCCAACGGGTGTCAGCCATTCAAGGGGCTTCCTCATTCGAGTCCAACGAGCAAAGACTGCTATCCCGGCAGCACCCAGGGATGAGTGAAGTTGTCTCTCCAAGAAGCCCTTGCAGCCCACTGGAGACATCTTTGGAACCAGCAGGGAAGGAAGGAGCTTCAGCCGGGATGCAGCTCACGCACACATGTGATACAAAAAAATGGGGGGGGGGGCCCAAATTCCTCAAGAGGAAATCACGGTTCTGTAGAGCACAGAAGTGGCCAATCGCTGCTGGAAAGACCAACCACAAACGTCCAATATATTGTGTATACGTAATGACTTATGATGTTAAAAACCTAAAGTCAATTTAAAATATAGAGTAAAAGGTTACTTCTCTAAAACCGTTTCTTACCTCAACTGGTAGCTTCCTCAATTTTTAAGAGCAAGGGAAATTTTTTATATCTTGATTGTGGTGATAGTTCCGTGACTGTTTAAACTGGTAAAATTCGTAAAACTATAGCCAAGTCTACAGACTTTATGTAAAGGGCGAGATAGACAATATTTTTGACTTCGCTGATCAAAGTCTGCCATTGTAGCAAGAACGCAGTTATAGGCAGTATGTAAATGAGGAGGACAGGTTGTGTGCCAGTAACACTTGACTTACAAGAACAAGCAGTGGGCCCAATTGGACCCAGGAGCTGTATGTAGTTTGAAGACTTCTGAACTCCACATTTGCAAAAGAGTGAATTTTACCATATACACATTATACCTCAATAAACAAACCAAAAAAAAAAAAATTTAAGCAGAAAAAAAACGGTGGTTCCTTCAACTTATTGGAAGTGAAGACTTTATCAAGAGAATGGATGGAGTTATTTTATTGTTTGTAAGAGGGACCGCTGACAGTAATTGTGCAACAGATGAGCCAGAGAGTTTACAGAAAGTTAAAACAGGGAATTTCAAACCTGACTCTTGAAGATTATTTTATCAACTCACTTGGAAAATTCACCTACAAGTCAAGTACCTTCCCTCTGTCCTTGACAAAGACACCTACAGCTGGGTGAGCCCCCTGTCAACACTCTAAACCGACTTGTTTTGGTGTGGTTTGGTTTGGTTCAGTGGGAATACTTTAAGGCTTAGCCTCTTGCACTTGTGGTTTTTTTTTATTGTTTGCTTCTTTTATGCCAAAGCAATCTTTATCGGACATAGATTGTAGATAAGAGCCAGTCATTTCTCCCCCCTGTCTAAACAGTGGCGCAAACAAAGCATTTCTGAGGCTTTAAGCCCACCAGAATAGAAAGAGAAATCAAACTCCTGGGAACCAGAAAGTGAACACTCTCAGGAAAAAAATAAATTTTAAGCAGGAGAGTTCAAAATCAGCACTCATCAGCTGGCATTCAAACACCCAAACTTGATGTATGCAAGTGATGTGGGGGTGTTACTGTACGTGTGGAAATTCAGGTTGTGTAAAAGATACACAGACAGCCTCTAGCATCTGGATTTTTTTCAAGATGTAGAAAAAAGAAGTCAAAGTGTTCGTCTCATCTTGCAGTAGAAGACATAGGCTGTTAAATCAAAGGTAGCTCACATGAGGATCAGCCGGAATTTTTTCATGAAGATGTCCCTAACAACACACGAATGTCAGTCCTTCGGGAGACGTGTATTAAGGGGCAGATGCCACGAGGCATGGCTCCAGAAGGACAGATGAGACATGAGCTGCCCTTAAGCACTGGGAGCCCAACTAAGAAGACAGATGCACACAAATACTTAGGAAAATGTGTTGTGTTACCATAAAGTCTCGAAATACTTCAACAACTGCAGGCAAATTTAATTTATAAGAGCTGAGGCTAAAGGTGAAAGCAGTATCATTTCTCTCTGAAGCAATACTACTAAGAAAATATGATCACTGTCTTCCTCGGTGCCGCCTACGGAGGTGGCAGCCATCTCCTACTCGGCATCATGGCTCGCCCTCAGACCTCTGGTGAAGCCCCAGATCATTGGCGGACCAAAAAGTTCATCAGACACCAGTCAGACTGATATGTTAAAATTAAACACAACTCGCGGAAACCCAGAGGCATTGACATCAGGGTGCGCAGAAGAGTCAAGGGGCAGATCTCAATGCCCAACACTGGTTACGGCAGCAACAAGAAAGCAAAGCACGTGCTCACAATGTCTCCTCCAAGAACCACAGAGCTGTTGTAGAAAGAGCGGCCCGGCCGGTCACCGGAGTCACCAATCCCAACGCCAGGCTCCACAGCGAAGAAAATGAATAGACAGACAGCTTGTGTACATGTGGTAATGAAACCATAAAACTACAAAAAAAAAAAAGAGAATATGATCAAAAGAGTCATACAAGAGAAAAAAAAAATTCATTTTCTCCTTCTCCTAAATCGTGTGCTACCACAGATAGGGCTACAGAATTTTCTCTCTTTAAAAAAAAAAAAATGCCGGGGCGCCGGGGTGGCTCCGTCGGTTAAGCGTCTGCCTTCGGCTCAGGTCCTGATCCCAGGGTCCTGGGTTCAAGTCCCGCATCGGGCTCCCTGCTCAGTGGGGAGTCTGCTTCTCCCTCTCTGCTCCTGCTCTTCCCTCCCCCTGCTCATGCTCTCTCTCTCTCTCAAATAAATAAAATCTTTCTAAAAAATGCCAATACAAGAGAATGCTTCTTTTTACTCATTTTTTTGGTGTGATTGTTTAGTTTTGTTTTTGTTAAAAAAACGTCAGATTAATACTACAAAAAGGAATTAGGAGTGAAATAAAGCTAGAAGGGACCGTCAGAGTTAATGTTAGTAACAATCCTGGTCTCAGTAGCCATCAGAACATTTTAGAGACAGAATGGTGATATGGCTGAAACAACGAAGCCAGGAAGATAAGTTAAAAACATAAAGTCATTTTTTCCACTGAGTCATTTCCTACAATCAGACATAAATATCCCCAACACTATTTACCCTGGACATAAAATGGATAAGTTGAGAACAGCTCCTACCATAGATTAGGCTCACTGCAAGTTAATTTTGGGACGTGAGACCTTACAGAAGGAGCTCTTAAACTGTACAGATACCTCAGAAGGGTCACCAAGGGCTCTTGTCTCAATGCAGATTCCCAGGCAACCTCCCCAGAGGGTCTGATTCAGGAGACGAACATGGAACCAGGAGTCTATGCAGTCATTCCGAGGACTGTGTCGTGTTCCTCCTCTGGCCAGGAGGGAACCTGGAAATGTGGAAGCAGTCATCTGCTGTGTGACCAAGCCTCCGGGCAACACTTAACCCAGAGGTTTCGAAACCCCACCACCATTGACTCTTCAGGGCTCCCGCCAAGAGTAATTTGGGATGGACCAAGGGGACTGTGCTAGATGCTGTCTAGTCCATTTATCATCATTCAACGAGCAAATCAAACTGTTCGAGAGGATGCATTTGTCGTTAAATTGCATCAATTCCATCACTGCTTTTCCATAAACGGTGTCACTAAGATGTTTATTTCCTGAACATGACAGCTAATCCTATTTCTCTGAAGCTACCAGTCTTCCCACGTCAGCAGAAAAACTTTATCAGTGTTTCTTTTTCTTCGCAAAAGAGAATCGCACGCTGTCAACGTGAGGCCTTTATAAAACCCCTACCGCTCTCTTGACAAGTAAAGGAATCTCAATGCCTAGAAGGAATTTAGTTATGTGATTATGATTGCATAACTATATGATTTGTTGAGTCTTTGTATGCAAAAAACTATTTTTCAGCTAGCCATTAATTGGATGTGGGTCATTTGATTTTGCAACCGTTACACTATGTGTTTATTGCTTATCTCTAGGTAAAGATACTGGTGTGCCTAAATGACCTGCCTGAATGAATAGGAGATTTGGCCATTGTCTAATCCAGGGGTTGGCAAATTAGAGCCTGCCACCTGTTTTTGGAAAAAAAAAAAATTGTTTTATTGGCAAACAGACATGCCCATTCATCCATTCATTTAGATATTGTCTATGGTCCACTTTCCAGCAACAACAGCAAAGCAGTTGTCACAGAGACCATATGGCCTTCAGACCTCAAATATTTACAATCTGGCCCTTTTCCAGAAAAGTTTGCCAACCCTTGATCTTGTCATTTGAGACCACCAAAGTTAGAACTCCGCCACGAAAGGGCCAGATAGATGAAAATGCGAGGTGTTGACAATGGCACGATACAAACATAGCCCAATGTGGAAGGAATTGCAGCGCATGGAAGCAATAGAAGAAATCACAGAGAAAAGATCTGTAGATGTTACTATACTTAATTTAAATGTTTTCTAGTTTAAAATGAAAAGGAAGGGGCGCCTGGGTGGCTCAGTGTGTTAAGCGTCTGCCTTCGGTTCAGGTCATGATCCCGCTTGTGCTCACTCTCGCTATCTTTCTCTCTCTCAAATAAATAAATAAGATCTTTAAAAAACTTTTTTTAAATAAAATGAAAAGGAAAAACATTGCAAGAAAGACTACAAAGAGGTTAATGTGCTCAGTATCTCAAGAAGTCTCACAAATTTGTAGAAAAGCTCAACGGAAGAAACACAAAAGGAATGGATACAAATTGCCACTTTGCAGAACAGGAAGTATACAAAACTGATAAAAGATGGGAAAAGCTCAACCCAACCAGTCACCAGAGAAATTCAGAGTATAATGAAGTAACATTTCCAATTGGCAAAAACAGAGTGAAGCCACTGAGTAGTATGAAATCTTAGTGGAGATATGGAGACGAGGTACCCTTGTGTTCTAAGTACAGAACGACATTTTGAAGGTCAGTTGGCAACACCTATTGAAAGTTTAAATACAATGACCTTTGACCCCACAATTAAAATTCTTGATGTTCACCCTAGCGAAATGCTTGCCCTTGTTCCCAAGACTGTATTTCAGACAAATCTGGAAGAGGCACACCACGCTGTCTGTGCAGTGATCACAGAGCATGAAGCAGAAGTGAATATACCAATGTTGAGTGTGGTTCCAAGATTATTACCACCCCGAAAGAAGTGGTTTGCAGGGGCGCCTGGGTGGCTCAGTCGTTAAGCGTCTGCCTTCGGCTCAGGTCATGATCCCAGGGTCCTGGGATGGGGCCCCGCGTGGGGCTCCCTGCTCAGCGGGGAATCTGCTTCTCCCTCTCCCTCTGCCTGCCGCTCCCCCTGCTTGTGCTCGCTCTCTTAGCTCTGTTAAATAAAGAAAGAAATAATAATCCTAAAAAAAAAAAAAAAAAAAAAGAACTGGTTTGCAAACCAATATATCCATGAAAATACGATTGAGGTTTTTTGTTGTTATTGTTGTTTTTTAAATCCTATCTTCAGGGGCACCTGGGTGGCTGGCTCAGTTCGTTAAGCGGCCGATTCTTGGTTTCCAGCTCAGGTCTGATCCCACGGTCGTGAGGTCCGGCCCTGCATCAGGCCCTGCGCTCAGATTCTCTCCCCGTCTCCCTCCTGCTCTCTCTCTCTCAAATAAATAAATAAAATCTTTCAAAAAAATCGTATCTTCAACTTGTTATGGGTGGAATCATGTCCTGCAAACAAGGTATGTTGAAGTCCTAACCCCCAGGACCTCAGAATGTGGCTTTATTCGGAAACAGGGTGTTTCCTGAGGTAATGAAGCCCCACTGAGGTCATTGGGGTGGGTCTTACTCCACGAGGACTGGTGTCAATACAGAAAGGGGAATTTGGGACACAGACAGACACACACAGAGGGCAGTCGATGTGAACACACACAAGCAGAAGGTGGCCAGAAGCACAAGTCGATGTGAAACACACACTCAGTACAAGCATGAGGTGAGGCATGTATAAGCTAAGGAATGCCAAAGATTGACAGAAAACAGCAGAAGCTGACAAGAGACAAGGAACGATCCTCCCCTAGAGCCTTCATGGGGAGCACAGCCCTGCTAATACCTTGATTTCAGACTTCCAGCCCCCAAAACTGCGAGACCACGAATTTCTGTTGTTTTAAGCTCTCCAGATTTTGGTACTTTGTTACGGCAGCCCTAGGAAACGAATCCATAATCCATCACTTCTCCCCCCAAACACCCAGTCATTTCTGGAAGGGTCTGTACAGATACTAACTGTAAATGCACAGAACATGATTGAGAGAAGTTTACATTCCAGTCAGTAACGGGTACATACGGGCAGAATCTGCAGATGACATAGAAGGTGAGCCTGGCCTTTCTAAATACACTATTTGAAAATCCAGCAGCCAATATGAGTACTTGTTTAAGTAAAAATTCTTTTACTTTAAAGGTGAAATGGTGAAGGGCATGCCCAGTGCCTCTCCCTTCTTCTGGAACAGTCGCCCCTCTTCTGGAACCCACCCCTCTCCATTCCAACTATTTGGCTCATACAAAGGCATCCACCACCGACTGGTCCTGCAGGTGCACTCTGGGACCAAGCTGGGTCCCTTGGGCCCGATGGAATCCCTCCCTGTCAGCACAGCTGAAGACCTAAGCCTGGGACATACTGGGTGCGTATCCATTACTTCTCAGGAGAAGCAGCTCTGGGGGCAGAGAAGAAAGCCAGTTTCAAAAGGGAAGCCGAGATGATGGGCAGACATCTCTCTAAGGACTAGCGGCCTTGGAATCCCTGTTTCCAGCCACTCCGGAAACCAGCTACACTTCTGTCCTCACTTACTTGGGCCAATGTTCTCTGTCACCAATGCCACTTGGAATTGGGTTTCTGCAACTTACATTCAAAACAGTCCTATCCAGAAAGGAACAAACAAAACGTAGGAGAATAAATGCACATGATTCTAAACACCTGGTGAGAAAGTGCTCAACCTTTTCATTATCAAAGGAATACAAATTCTTTTAAAATGGGATCTGTCTTTAAAAAAAAAAAAAAATTCAGTGGCATCTATGCTATGTGTCCCTTGAACTGAAAATCTCAACCTCAGGGTGGTGGAATGATAAGCACATTTTATTCTCCTTTATTAACACTTTTCTGTATTTGCTAAATCCTTACGAACAGGATTGTTATTACTTCTGCATTAAAATTTTTCCTTTTTTTTTTTTTTTAAAGAAAAGTCTTACAATAAATCAAGTGTGAAACATTCAGGACCGAGACACTGAGGTATTTTCAAAGAATTACAAGTATTTGCAGGGAGAAAATGAGCAAAGACCCCAGGGTGACTTCACGGTTTAGAGCACGTAATTTTTGGCTTCTTAGCACACCTATTATAGCATATTTACTGCTAATCTGGGTTTAATAGGTGTGCCATTACCACGATTATGTCATATATTTAAATACTTTATCAGATCCTGCTAAATGGTGTGGTAGCTTATAGTTTTGCTCACCAATATTCGAGAACCCTCCCTGAGGAAGGATTAAGCGTCCCCACTCAACAGGGGCGCCTGGGCGTCTCAGTCCGTTAAGCATCCGACTCTCGGTTTCGGCTCAGGTCATGATCTCAGAGGTGTGAGACTGAGCCCCGCGTCGGGCTCTGTGATCGGCAGAGAATCTGCTTGAGGTCTCTCTCTCTCTCTCTCTCTGCCTGTCCCCCCTCCCCCCAGCACTCGCGCTCTCTCAAATCCATACATAAATCTTAAAAAAAAAAAAAAAATCCCCACTCAAGTGTTGCCAGGTGACTTGCTGCCCCCGAGGAAGGTGAGCAATATGATGCTTCAGGGGGATGTTTTATGATGTGCTTGTCATCTTCCCTCATCTCCCATATTCTAGCAACCTCAGTCCCCAAGTGACTACAATGAGCAGATGTCCCAGGCCCACTTACAGTGATATGTAGCAAGAGCAAGAAATAAGCTAAGTTGTAAAGTCACGGCCTTGTTTGTTACTGTGCCATCATGAAGCCTATCCTCACTAGTACAATGGGAACCCAAGAAAAGATACCCAAAGAATCTTTGCAAAGAAAAGGAAGATGTGGCGCGCACTGGGCTGCAAACACATTTTAACTACTGTTCTATCCTCTTGCTATTTTTACACACTGTAATTATTCTTCTTGATATTTTACTAACTTAGCAAAAGGTTCTAGTGCTTTTTGAGGCTGATTAACAAGCAAGCTAAGGGAAAAGCTTGGCTGGATGAGAAGCTTTACCATTTCTAGCACAGCTCACGCTATGCACAAATTACACTGCTATCATCATCATCAAGCACAAACAAGGCCACATCACTGTAATACATGATCCAGCCCGTGATTCCCCCCACACTGTACACCACCCCCTCTCCGTCGCAGAAGTAGAGGAGAATGTAATGGGAATCACACAAGCAGCTCATAG